TGCTGAAATATATTATGTTCAGAAGCCTTTAGAGCTCTGTGCCATATAAGTGTGGTTATTTAGATCTTGAAGCAATTCCACGTGGTGGGAAACCTCAGCAAACTGACTCTACACAGTCAGGTTGGACATATCAGAATCTACACTGCTGTGGATGCCACTTGCATCAAGTCAGCTTAGGTCCGACTTTACACTTGGGTATTAACATGGAGAAGCGTTGTGCTAAAGATGTGACAGTGTCTCAGTAAGAGCTACTCTATGTCCATAATAGTGATGGTCATCACTAATTCAAGTCTTCCATAACACCCTAATAAAACTGAATAATTTATTGTACAACAGGAGGAATCAATGATAGTCTGCAGGGGCTGTTGGCAAGGAGAGCTGTCAGTAAGGAGAGCTGTCACCCTGCCTTCTCCCAACCACCTATACTACAGCTGATCTGGTTTTACTTGGCCAACTGGTGCTATTCCTTCTCCATGAGCCCAGGTACCTCAGCCAGCTGCCTCTCCAGCCTAACTGGGCTTTGTGACCCAAGGACTGTAGAGATAGGTCTTGGTACAAGACACATATTGGACAATTAAAAGTTTCCAGATGCCAGTAGAACCACCTTACCCATTTAGAACTGAAATGCTATCGTGGTAAGATTGTTCGTTGCTAACTCATCTGGACGAAGCTAAGCCAAATGTTACACAGCATGATACAGGCTATGTCACAAGAGTCATGCTATTTAGGGTACTCCAATTTCCAAATACTTTGGAAAGCGGAGAGCCGATAAGGTATATAGATTCCTCTGACACCAACCAAAATCCTCCGCTGAGGCGCCAATTAAGCTTCTATGAATATGCAGAAGCTAAACAACACAACATCCTGACAGTCTCACTGCAAGTTTAGCAGAAACTGCAAGTTTAGCAGATTGGAGAAGTTGTATTCTTAGATGTAGAACAAGGCATTGTAACAGCACACTATTTTTGGAAAGGACTGAAAAAATTGGAAGTTTGGAATTTCACACTGATTTTGACTCCGGATTAAAAGGTAGTTGTTACAAATTCTAGAAACAACACAGAAGTCCAAGTGAGGCAGAATTACTTCCGACTTGCTACTACCACAGGACAGCTCACACCAGTGCGCAAATTTCATCTCTGGTGGTATAAGATAGTCTCTTCAAACAGCACTGTTAAACTAACGCAGACAAGAGCAATAAGAATCTTCATTTACTATGCTGCATCTTAAAACTAGAAAATCCTATTTTAAGACCACCCATTTCTAGGTAGCTTTCAGAAAAAGTGAAGTTTGTGGACTTTTGCAGAAGTGAAATTTAAGATTTAATCTAAACTGTTTATATACTGCCAGTCTGCTTTGCACAACAAGCACAAATGTATGAGAAGAGTAAAGCAGATATGCAACTGAGAATGTGCCTAGCATGAAGGTTTTACTTTATTTTGCCTTATAACCCAGACCCTGCATTTCAGATCTACATAAACAGCTGTGCTGTGCTGGTTAACAGTTAAAACTAGAAGGTTCATAAATTTTCCATTTGTTTAGGATACTGGCAAGTTCTTTATCACCTTTAAGGTACTCCTCATTGGGATACATTGTGTCTCACTAGGAACTGTCACCCATTAGTCTAAGAAACCAAGGTGGTAGCCAAGCAGACATGGCATCTATTAAAATACTTCAGGCTTCCTGAAATAGCAACAGTTAAGTGGCTACTGAATGCACAATAAAATTGTATACTTTAGTATCACATACCACTGGTTTAAGCTGGAAGGAAAGGGCTTATCTACATACTTGTATATGCTTATGTAAGTTGTACAAGGTATATTAACAGAGGACCACAAATTAAGAATGAGTAGCAAACAACTGTTTTACTTTAAACAACTTGGAAGGACCTAGAGAACTTCACATACAAATGCATATAAAGGAAAATAGAAAGGAAATCAATCTGTTTCTATTTTAATTACAGTAGGTGCCAGGAACCTAACTAGCCCAATATGACATTGCTTTTCAATGTTAAACTCAGTTAAATGTTGCCTTGAAACCACAATGTCAACAAATCCAATATCTGGGTCAAATAAGTTCTCCCAGTTTACACTTTTACTGTATTACTTTCGAATAAGACTTATTCATACAGCCATCACACTAAAAACAAACAAAAAACAAAACCCCACCCTGCATACAAACCACCTCCTCTTTGCAACAAATACTCACCAGCACAGTTCACATAGTATCTACCTACTCCAAAGGATGACCTTTCATTTTTCTCCACTCGGCTTCTTAGTGAAGGGAACCAGGCTATTCACTGATCCTTGGCAATCAACATAGTAATTCACATCTCAAGATAACAACTAGAAATGAGTTAACTCTCTAACTTCAGTGTTCTGGCAATCTGAACTAAACGTGAATTCAGCTGTCCTTTCTGCTGGTTAAGGCTGACTCAGGCTTGTCGGAAGTAAAGTACATCATCTGTACATAACCTAAAAATCTTAGTGCCCATTTCTCCACTTCTAAGAAACATGGAAAGACATAACAAGGTTTTTACGAGTTCATATCAATGAGGTACAACAGTCTTACCCTGTTCCCTTCAGAAAGATAGCTCTTAACCACTTCGATAGTGATACGACAGTTTCCAGACAACAGATCTCAGAGACAGTCATTTAGTCATCTAGGTATACATCTGACCAGTGATAATAACCTGCACAACTGTCAAAAATTAATGTTTGTTTTTCAAAAATGAAAACGCCTCACTGGTATACAGACAATTTAGCATGGTATATCTGTGGAGAAAGGAGGACAGTCTAATACTAGTTGCAGCTAATACCAGTTGCATTAAGATTTGTAGTTCACTTTCCAAATAGTTTTCCCAAACTAGCATGGGGGAGGGAGGTACAGATTTGCAAGAGTAAAGGATCAGAATACGTTTGTGTCATGGCAAAATATTTCAAGGATGAGCTGTCAACAAATTCAGCTTCGTAATCCGCTGCAGGATGTCAGATGCCCTTCCAATGCTACTCCTGCTATGAAAGGCTCTCTTAAAGTCTTTATATGGGATTACAGCAACCTGCCCAGCTTCAGCAGATGAGATGCCTGATCTCCACTAGAAAATGATTTGGGTACCATGGACTCAGCTCTTGAAGTTAGGCAAGTTCACATCCTGCTCCCCAAATAAATCTGTTAACTGTATTAGCTCTTGCAGTGTGAATTCAGATACTCCCCTTACTCTTAAGGCAGGGGGAACCGAAAG